ATTTACGGTAAAAAAACGGCAGCTGTGGTTGCCGGAATTTTACTGTAAAAAATATAACCTATTGAAGTAGTGAAATATGTTTTGTGCTTCTGTAATACAGTGATAACCACCAAATGCAGGTGGTGATGAGAAAGTCACATGATGAACCAAAGCCCATCACAAGCAGCTTTTAAATAATAACATATATAGAAGGTGCACAGTGTCATTCACACAAACACTAAACACCATCATGGTAAAACACATGAAACTTAAATAATGCAATAAACATTAATTTAACAACATTAGATGTAACATACAACCCTAATGTACAAAACTGAGAAGAAAAAACATAGTTATTTCAACAACAAAAAAAAACATCAAATTTGAAATGTAACGCAGGGAATTCTGGGAATGTCAATTTACGTTTATTCACTGTATATTATACGGTCTTTTTCAATACTGTAAAATTACATGTAATGTCCAATACAGTTTTCCACCGTATATAGTAAGGGAATTTACAGTTAACCATTTAACAGGTTTTTACTGTAGCATTTTTACAGTCTTTTACCATTAAATTCACGGTCATTTTTTACAGTTTAGGAACTAGAAACTAAGACAGGGAAATGGCTCTGTAAAGTGCTATCACTTGGAGAGAGATAAACGCAAACAATACTCGGCGACTTGAGCAGGATCTGAGTGGGTGATATATAGTGTGTGTAATAGCTTTCAGGTGAGTGTGTGATTGGTTACAGCTGTGTGCAATCAGTGCAATGGATGATGAGAAATGTAGTCCAGGGTATAGTGTAACAGTCTGTGTAGTGTGAGAGTCCATGTAGTGAGCGGGAGACCTCTGGTGGTGAGTGAACGGAAGTTCATAGACCGGATTCGTGACAACTACACATTCTTATATATTTTTAAAGGGGTCATATGATGCTATTTCAAGTTTTCCTTTCTCTTTGGAGTGTTACAAGCTGTTTGTGACGCAATCGGACGGAAGGCCACGGACCGGATTCGTTACAGGTATATTGCTGGTGTATTTCAAAGACACTCATAATTAATTTGTACTGTACTTGTGATACAAAAAAAGTACACTTTAATATCACTAATCAAGCATGTAATTAGGCATATACTTAAAGTGTACTAAGTATACTTGAAGTTGTCCTAGTTTAGCATATAAAAGTACACTAAATACACTTAACTATAATTTAATTACAACTAAAATATACTTAGTACAAATATAGTTGTTCCAAAATAGCACACTTCAAGTTAACTAATAATTAACACACTTGAAGTACGCCGACAATTAGTCTGGCTGCAATTATACTTAACATTTTTTTCCCACTAGGGTAGGAGTGTTAAATAAAAATAAAGATGATTATCTTCATTCAGTTGTTCCATTTCTATAGGTTTGGTAACAAAAAAGCTCTTAATTTCAAAGATAATACAAGCTAATCTGTGTATTCAGTAGGTTGCATTAGTGGCATTAGGCATTGTAAGTATACAACAATGTGACAATAAAACAATGCATTTACTTTTTACTTTTGATACTTGAGTACTTTTAAAAGCATGTACTTTCGTACTTTTACTTAAGTAAAAGCCTGTCTTTACAACTTTCACTTGTAGTGGAGTAGTATTTGACCAGTAGTATCTGTACTTTCACTCAAGTAATGCAGTTGTGTACTTTGTCCGCCTCTGCATCTGCTGGTTTTGAAGATGAAGATGAACTTTATTTTGAACTTCACTGTGGAACTTTAGATAATGTTTCTTTGTCATGATGCTTGTACTGACAGATTTATCCAGATGATAGTTCACTGCTTGATGCATTATTGTGTCACATTTGTTGAGGACGCAGCATCAGATCTGAAAGTGCTGGATCTGAAGATGATCTACTTAGCTCAGGTGCTGCTTCAGGTCTGAAGCCCTCAAAAATGTTTTATCGCATTGATCACATGCATGACGCTTCTCTCCAGTGTGGATGTTCATGTGATCCTTAAGATGTGCTGATCGTCTGAAACTCTTCCCACACTGATCACAAGTGAACAGTTTCTCTCCAATGTGGATGTTCATGTGATCCTTAAGGTGTGCTGATCGTCTGAAACTCTTCCCGCACTGATCACATGTGTATGGTTTCTCTCCAGTGTGAATAATCTCATGTGTTTTCAGATGTCCTGACTGACCGAATCTCTTGTCACAGTGTGAACACTTAAACGGTTTTTCTCCAGAGTGAATCCTCTCATGCAGTTTTAAACACTTTGCTGAAGTAAAAGTCTTTTCACACTCAAAGCACATGTACTCTCTCA